TCTCACTTTTGCTTTTCTTGTGAACGTTGTTTAAGGGACTCTTATCCATGCTAAGTTATCAGCGATTGCCTATAGCACAAGTAAACAGAGCTGGCGAAGAGCTTCGAGCACTGTGCGCGTCATTTGCAAGTGACCGCCTCTGACACCCGTAGCGCACGCGTAAGGCAATTTCGTGCCAAGCAGATGCGATATTCGTGTTCAGCGCGTCGAAACACCCCTTTCAACAACATTTGGTCCAAATCTAAAATTTTGACTTGAAGTCGAAAATGTGGGCAGTCATCTATCCATCAACCCACTGTCAGAGCCTGATCGTGGGATTGAATTAAACTTTCAGTCATTATTGTGAAAGAGATATAGTTGCCTGCTCTACTTGCTCGTGCCATCCGAAGATTAATATGATATTTTTTCAAGTACACGCCGTTTATGGTAAGACAGCAAGAGGGTTGTCAGCTTTCTAGAATTAAGCCTTCAAAGATAGTTTGGTCCTGCTGAGCAAGCATCTCCCATTTGTCCCATCGTCGGATATACGTCACTTCCGTGGCAACACCCCGACAGTGGTCGAAACATTACGAAAAAAGTGGAATGCGTTAAACAAACCCCTCTAAACATGCGTTAGCTTTGGACGCAGTGAAAATTTCAACACTGAATAAATTTTTTACTTTAATTAGAACCTAATTATAAAAATGCATACTGATTGACCTTCTCATCACGTAGTATACAATAGAGCTAAAGAAGATTCTGCCAGCAAGATCCCATCCATGGTCTTACCACTGAAGCCGCCAACACTACCACTCGGCCAAGCCGCCGCTGGAAGCGAGCTCTGCCGGAGTCTCTTACAGTGGGCTTTCATTCGAAACAACCTCCGTAACACTTTTCAGAGAATCGTTTCGCAAATTTGGAGAGTGGATTCGAGATCAGCGTCCGAAAACACATCTCTGAGTATAGGTTTCATTACGGATGGCCACTTCGACTTGGTATCCTTCCCTTGTGAGATTTCACAAATTTAAGACCCGCTCCTTTGAGAAGTCTTCATATAACCACCCCTCTCCTCACCACCACCTGCCTTGGCTGAATTCTTTAATACGACCCCCTCCTCCCCGTCCATCGACCACTATCTTGCCGTTTGATGTTTGATGAAGGCAAGGTCATCGACTAAATCCGCTCTTACAATGCACTCTTGTATAGTTGCTCACGCTGTCTGATATAAGAGTAGATGGTGACACACCACATTTTCCGTGTGTGACTCTAAGGTCATGGTCTATCGCTTTGTTTACAGTTAAATAGCCATAATCTCGTAGGAATTTACATTGCAGTCTCTGCCTGATCCGCACGACTCTCGTTGTCCATACTTTTTGTTCGAAATTTTCCAGTTGCTACTGAAATTTTCCAGTTGCTACTCTGCGAATGTTTTATCAAAACATTTTTCGCCGGCCCTAGTATGTGTGGATTTGCCTCTAATCCTTTGAGATTTTTATGATACCACTTGAAATTACCTTTTGCTTACGTGTGAATCGTGCAAATGAGCCAGTCTTCTTGTAGGACTCGTTTCGTAAGCTTTACTTTTTGTGTCGTCTCTGAAGATGTCGAACAGATCATCACTCCGTACAAGCTCCGCGTTTTGAATATTTTTTCGGAGGCTTTTTCCATAGCACTTCAAAATCGTCTGTTTCTGTCGTCCTAGAAATAAATACAATGCCTTTATTATGGATGCGCCCCCTACTCGCAGAGGCTGACTGTGATCCTCCCATCTCTAGTAGTTCACTGTTAATGGGATGAGGAGCTGGTGAAAGCGTGAAGAGTTGCCTTCTTTGTCGAGATCGTTTTTCGCTAGGAGCTCGTGGAAAAATGTCGCGTGTAGCCTAGTACGACAGCGATTACCTAAGTCTAAGGGTAGAAACTCCAAGCCACCTTCACGTCTTCACAAAAAAACTATTTGTTTCAAAAGTCGACCAAATGAAAAACACAACCAACCTGCGCATAAAAATGCTTCACATGAAAGCGTATCAAGCAAGGTATTCCTTTATCGGTTGGGTTGCGCTCCCGAGGAGATTGCCTTCGTCAGAGCCTGAGAAATTGAGTCAGTTCGCTAAAAGCCGACCAAACGTCGCTGCTATACTAGAGAAATTCAAAATAGGACATCATATAGCCACTTGATGGACCACTCGCAGTAACCCAGTCTAGGCCCTTAGACAGCCACAAGCTGGTACCACACGCAATCGGACTCGTTTCAAATCTCTGTAGTATCTCTTGCTTTACAATCGACCCGTTTTATGAGCTGAAAGCTACAGCAGTGTTAACAAAAATCACGTGGAGGTGCTCACTACATTCGTTCGACAAAAATACTATTGATTAACAGATGGGAGCAGGGGAAGGGGTTGATGGTTGGGGAACTGTGCAAACATGTACGGAGATTTGTAGAAGCAGCATCTATTACGCTTCCTGCCCGCTCCCCGCTCCCCAAATTCTTGACTTAAATTTAGGCATAGTTTCAGAAGTAACTCAATATCTGTATCTGGAAGATAACGATACTATGGTCACCATCAAACCTTGAAGGAGGGTTACAATAAGACAATTCCAGGTAGGGTTCCTTTAAATGTGAGTAGCATAACGTGGCGGTTGACCCCGGACAACAACAGGCGTATCCCTAGAGGTAGTGCCAATGTAGCGCCGCCTGACCGAAGTGCTGCTTTCACATGCATAAATAGGGTTCTGGTAAGTTAAAATTTTTCCCTGTCAAGTGAAAAGGTTGAGTAACCATTATTTCCGAGGAAGGTGGCGGGAAAAAGTTATAAGTCTATCCGGGTGCGTTGATCCGGACCGACCAAGCAGATGTGCCGCGCAATTTATCCCTAGAAGTAGTGCCAATTTAGCGCCGCCTGACCAAAGTGCTGCTTTCACATGCATAATTAGGGTTCTGGTAAGTTAAAATTTTTCCCTGTCGAGTGAAACGATTGAGTAGCCACTATTTCCGAGGAAGGTGGCGGAAAAAAGTTATAACATGCTTCACCCTTCAGCTTGCATAACTCTCGTCGATTTATTTTCCCCATTAAACTTTGATGCTTGCAATTGAGATGAACTACGAATGAGAACTCAAATAAAAATGCAAATTCTGTTCCATGCTTCTCCGTCCTTGCACTGAAATATGAAATACTCCCTACTTCCGTCGCGAAAACCCCGTTCCCGTTATCTGAAATCCCTGAAAAATCTGAAGGAGAGAAGCAAATCCCCGTGCAAATTTCTATTGAAGTTTCCAGCTCATTCATTAAAAAAGCTTTAGTGGTAGGGTGCCACTCTAAAGAACTCCGCCAGCGCTCTTTTGAAAGTTCTTTACATGCGGATATTTGAACATCAACCGGCTTGATCAGCAGTTACATGGCTTTCTGCACAAAAGCATTGTTGACGAAGTTCTTCAAAATTCCTCAAAAAATTTTTTTTTTTTATTTTGTTAGATCGATTTTTCGACTTCAGATTCAAGAAGCTATTTCGTCCAACTTGACTGCTGATTCTCCTTCTTTTATTGCCTTTATCTACTTCAAGTACACGATCGTTGTACGGTGGGAGTTACTCTCGCATCCAACGCTGCAGCTTTGCTCAGAGTGGGAGAACAAGCGGGCAAAATGACGATAGCTGAGCGGATGCAGACTGAATCTGAGGAAAATCATGAGTTGAAGGCGAGTTCTTTCAGCAGTAGTCATGCAATCGCAATGTCACACGCACACCACACCCACATTCCCCAAAAAAACACTAGTCAATGTCGTGCTTGAGGCTTTCTGTCCTTCTGAACGAGCTTGTTAACGTTATTTGACAACAAGAAACAGGAAGGCTATTTCTGGAGTCTCATCCCATTTGGAGCCATCGTGACAAAGAGTCCGAATAGCAGCTCAGTCTTTTCTCCATTCAGGGAACTGCACGATGGTGGCGTGGACGAACATCTTTAGAGAGGATTCTGTTGTCAATCTTGGCGTTCTTCGTTTTACTCACAGCAGTGCTCATAGCCGTGATCTTGAATATGGACAGTAGGCAGCGTAAGTAAGTTCGCATGGTTTTCGTTTTACTTTACTCATTGTAAGAATGTACTTCGGGGGGGGGTGGGGCACTTAATTCGAAGAGTCAGTAGCTAATCAAAGAGGAGTTGCGGAAGGGCACTCATATCTAATCAACATTCAGAGCACAGGCTCTGAGAGTACGACTAGATAGGAAATACCACAGAGGGTCTGTAGGGCATGTCTGCAACGATCGACAATGTATTTAGCAAGTGTTGACGTAGTCGTGCCGCAGACCACCCCTTAGGCCGTGTTCATAAGTTCGTGCACGAAGCTCCCGGATATCAGGATAGTACGCGACCATGAAAACCGTTTTTAAAATTGTTTTTTAAAATTGACGGGGAGATTAGGATAGTAGTAGAGTAGGAGAGATTGCGCTGACAAGATTAGATACGTATCGATTGAAATCGCTCGAGAGAGTAGTAGATTGCGATATTACGATAGTAGGATAGTAGTAGAGTAGGAGATTAGGATAGTAGTAGATTAGGATAGTGCGCTGACAAGATTAGATATGTATTGATCTATTCGCTTGAAGTCGCCCAATCTACTACTCTCCAGCGATTTTCAATCGATACGTATCCAATCTTGTCAGCGCAATCTCCTACTCTACTACTATCCTAATATCCTGTCGCCTACTATCCTAATCTCCGAGTCGCGAACTATGAACGCGGTCTTAGTAAGGATATAATGACTATACTTGATACGATTAGAGTAAAAACCATAAACATATCTAACTTGTCCGCGCACTATCCTCCAAATCTACTACTGTCCCAGATCTTCTACTCTAAACTACTGTCTCTAACTATTCGTTGATATCGCAATCTGCTACTCTTTCTGAAACTCTACTCGATTAGGTATGAGTGCTCGCTCCAGACTGAATTTTCACCTTACTCACTTGCAGTCTTTTCTCAAAAAAGCGGTTTCAGACGATAGGATACACAGTTCTTCTATAAAGCCACCAACGGAAGAAACTTGTCGACCACCGCTCTGACGACGACTACACCTCCCTCAACTCCATCACCGGAGCCTCCCGTGTGTACGACAATTGGTTGCGTACGGGCAGCCAATAACATTGTATGTTCACTTGGTGCATTCTCGTGAAAGTTACTCAAAGGCATATCCCAGAATCAGATTGGTGCGCTTCTTGCACGAAAGTATCGGTGCCAAATGGGCCGGCGGAGAAGAGAAAAGAAAAAGAATTCATCGAAACCTTTCAAGTTAGGGCATGCTCATCTTTGTAATGCGGCTGCGCTAGGACAATGCGATACTGAGTGCGGAAAGGAGATTATGAGGCGGGAGAGTGCAACAGCAGAGAGGGTGCCAAACAGGAACTCTCTGCGGACGGGTAACATTGCAACTGCTGCAGTTAACTTTGAAAAGGCTCTGTCGCCCTTGTGGGGCGATTTCCGTGTGCTGAATGCTATACGATATTACGCTCCCCAAGCGAGGTGGTTTTGATAGCTTAAGATTTTCCTCATGAGAGCGCATTTCCCGTCGAATGACCATGGCTTCTAGTCGCGCCCCTCTTCTATTCTGTCAGAGCTCTTCCACTTGAACGGCCAACATGTAAGCTGAAAAATGGTCCAGGTTATCACGCAGACTAAGGGTCCTAGTGCTTGGCTTTTTGACTGTAAAGGTTTTTCTCCATTGCCGCACCATTTGACAACTCTTTTTTCATAGTGGATCACCAACAAATCATCGCACTACTTCATCGTAGCCTGAAAAGACAATTGCTTGGAAATTAGCCGTTCAGGATCATTTTATAGGCTCCACGCCAATGTTCAAATGCGCTCTGGCCGTTCTTCAATTTGGCCCTGCGTTGCAATGCTTTACTCGATTTTGCCGGACATGGTTGACCCTTGTAAAAATTGCAGATAAATGCTCTGAATACGTCAGTGGACCCTTGCGAGGATTTCTACGAATTCGCTTGTGGATCATGGAACGAGGATCACCCGATTCCAGATGATATGTCAGCCTTCGGTACATTCTCATTCGTGAGGGAGCAAGTTCGGCAGCAGTTACGAGGTAATGGCTTGGGAGAACTCCCTAGATTTTTGTCGAACCAACCATCAATTTTTTTCATGAAATTGTATAATGAAATAAAATTAATTGGATTTCCTGGTCCCCAATCCAGAACCAAAATTTCGTATAATATTCCGTTATGGCCTTTAAAGGAATCTTGCGCGGAAAATTCTTGCACTCTTTCCTAACATGAATATGTCAGTTGTGATCACTGGAAATAGCACACAAAGTTTCACGCATGAAGATTCGGTTTCTGAAGAGAAACAAACGTACAAAAACTACACGTTATGGACCATCGAAGGACCAGGAGGCAGAGCCAGGCGAGGCATGGAAAGAAGACGGCGTTTGGCCGGCTACGTACCAGGCGACGCAATGAGAGAATCGGGTTAAAGCGCGCGATTTCGGAGAGTGGAGACAAATCGATCGATGGAATAGGATGGAGTAGAAGTGTAAGATGTGAATGCAACGAAGCAGAAGGCCAGAAAGAGCTTAGTGAATGCACTCCAAGAACCAAGTTTGAGCATCCCCGTCGCCAGCATTCGTGAAAGACGTCCGTGGGCAATTCGAACGCGTAGCAGCCTTTTCGAGTTTTCGAATTTCTAATCAAAACGAAAGCAATACTTCAGTTCTTTTCACTATTATCGTGGATAATGAGTCTCAAGCCAGTGATTTATGGCTGAAATAGAATCATGATTTTTCCCGCCCCCCCCAATGGTTCCATTTTACTTGATATCACCACCGTCCGAATCCCTAATAGGAAAATGAATGGATGAAGTGAGTATTCGAAGCATTTCTGGGTTTCCTGACGGAGGCGTGTTGCGCGGAAGGAAGGCAGAGTCCAAGGCGGTCAGCGGACGAGTCGCAGCATGTAATGTTTGACATGGAACTAGTGAAGGTCATTGCAGTACGTGTTGCGACTCGTCCACTGACCTGGCTGTGATTTCTTCTTCTCCAAAACCTCTTGTCGGTACTGAGTATTCTGCATGGAAGCAAAACTGGGGAAGGGCAAGCGCGTACAGAGAAGGAGACAATCTTAAAGTATCTTAATTTCGTTGAAACTCCCCATAAAAAGTCCCCAGTCATCCACATCAACCTTATGAAAATAAATAAATCTTCCTATCCACGTCAACCTTATGAAAATAATCTATCGTACTGGTCTCTCCCTACTAAAAAATAAGTAAACTCGTATAACTTCGTATAATCCAAGATCACGCATCCCGGCGGACACCTGAGGAAAAAAAACCAAATTGTGAGCCGACGTAGAATCGTCTGGGCCTAATCACACCATACGAAATATTTGGAGCGTTGATCTGGACAGGAGTTTTTGGGAATTCCAATGAACACGAACAATAGTCAAACTCCTTGCCTATGTCTGCTCTTTCTGCCTCCCTTGCGAATATCCACGTCCTCGCTTCATTTAAACTTCCCAACACACAACGCCTTTCCTGAATTGTTCACTTTCAGATGAAGCGAGGTTTTGCGGTTAAAATTGAAGTGGATGCAAAAAAGGCTCTCAAGGTTCAATGACTAATCATTCCTGAATGTATGAAATCCTTGCAAACATATTCCGCACGAGCGAGGAACACTGAATTATCGTGTTTACGTGTACTCAATTCGAATTTGGAGTTTATGTCAGGAGGTGATCAGGAACGATGAGGGACCACACATTTACATCATGATTTTCGCAATTAAGCTGGTCAGGCTGGGAGCATCCACCAACAAATTTAGCTCATTTAAAACCGCTTTGGACAAGCATCTTACATCATAGCTCCTTAACTTTTGCTTCCTTTTTCTTCTGTCTCAGTTCTACTGCTTTCAATTGGATTGATGTTGTTTTACGATATAGATGTGTTCTGTTTGTTTGTTATGCTTCTTTTTGTTGTTATCTCACACACAGGCAATCTGTGTAATAAACAAATACAATACAAATACAAATTAACGCCTCACACCGAGGCGGAAGTAGTGTAGTGACAAGTGGCGCGCTTACCACGCGAGCGGTCCGGGGATCAAATCCTGGGTCGTGAGTCGCCCGGGCCAACCAAGCCTTCCATCCCTCCGGGTCGGTTAATTGGTACCAGACTTGTCTGGGAGGATAAAAACACTGACTTGAACATCGGCTGGCCCCCGCAAGTCATTGTATAGGCCACATCGCATTCAAATGCCACTGCGAATGTACAAATGGAAGTAGAATGCGTGCCGCATCCCAAAAAAGGGATTGATCAACGGCAAATGCTTTATCCTTTATCCTTAAGGCCCACTCCGTTGAAGACTAAACTAAAAAAAACGCGGCTATGATGACTAGGGAGCACTTCGTGGATATGCGCACCTTTCGTGAAAGGCGCTCTGATTGCTGAGCAGGCCTCCGAAAGCGATTCGCTCCCTAGTTTAGTTGGTGATTTGGATGAGCTGGATGCCACAGTGCATCATGAACGCAACTGAACTGGGGCAATTGATTGCATGGTGTCACCTCCAAACGCATTGCAGTAAAAATCGTTCATACGACTGCCCCTGTCGCTGCCTCATGCACTGAGCGATGATCAAGGCTCAAACCTAAGAGAATCACTATTCTCCGTTTTTCGCCGGTTTTCTCGCTTCTCGATCTCTACCATTGATACCTCTATCCCTCCCCATGTCCCCTGTGAACCCGTTACCAATTGTCGTAACCGCTGCCTCTAAACCACAGGAGCAAACCGCAAACCTCTCGGTTGGAGGGATAGAGCGATGCACGTACCTTGCCAACGTCCCCTAATTACTGGCAACAAGTGCTTTTGATTGAAAAACTATGTCATGGAAAAAATTTTCTACTTACACATTGAATTTTCTGTAATCCGTAGGAAGATAGTATTGTGACTTACTTTTCTATTGTGTTGATTACCTATCTATTACTTTTCAGTACTATTAGAGCAAGAAGTGACGTCAAAATCAACTTCGATTAATATGGCCCGAATCGCGTACAAAACCTGCATGAACAAAACACAACTGGAGGAGTTGAAAACAAGGTAAATACTTTTGTTTGACTTCCATCGTCGTTCTTTCAGAAGCAGCAACCGTTTTGAATAGACTTCATGAGAGGAGTACATACGGACCGCGCATGCCCAAGAAAAAAGTGTATCCGCAGCTAAATGGGCCTGAAATATTAGGTTGGCACGATTGAAATGCCGTTTTCTATCATCAAATAGTTTCATTATAAAAGCGATAATGAAGCACATCAAGCTGAACCTTCTATTTCTCGAAGAAGTTGGGCACTCAAATTTTGACGTCGTCGCGGTTATTCGAAATTGGTTTGCTGCTAAGGAGTGTTGCGGTGACCTGGGTCAGTGATAGTCGGACGGCGCCAGACCTGGGCTATATGGCGCGAGAGGCAGAGCGTCCCAGCCCAACTTCCTCGATTTCTTGCAAGATTTTCGCTGACATGTGGTCTTGCATTATCGTGCCATAATTTTTCATTTGCCGAATTACCCTTTGACGACGCGTAGCTCGGCCCACGTGGTGGAGCTGTTAAACGCAGAGTACAGCTGTAACTGTCTGACACACAATCAGCTCTCCATAGTAAGCCAGTCTTATACTGTTCCACCACACCGTAGCACGACTTTTTCTCAGTGGATGTCTATTCGAAGCATCCTCCAGTATGTCTATCCTGCTTCCCATTTGGCCAGTCTCTCAACTGTAATATTGCGAAAATCCCATTGAAAGCGGTCAACCCACGAAGTCAGGAACCTTTTTGTATTTGAAGCTTAACTGAGCGAGTTCCAGTCCCTTGCAACCCAGTTAAACGCATATGATCTTCGTCCTCAGCATAGGCCGAAGCACATTTTCTATCCAAAGCCATAAGCATATTCGCACGAGAACTCTTAAATTTTTCTGTTAGGCACATCTGAATCTCCATGCAAGTTTTGTGCCGGTTTTCGAGGACTCAATTGTTGGCTTTCTTTATTTTCCGTCATCTAGGCTAAGATCGAAATCCAGGATCTTCTCTACAGGTCCTTTACCTCAATGGAAGAGATGAAACACCTCGCTGAAATGTCTGCAGAGACCTAAGCTAATACTGCTCAATGTTTTGGCCACACAATGAGTCTGTAATTCGTGTTTGGCTGCTTGATAACGACTCCGACGATGATTTCGGTTAGCCATCTCGCCCAAGTGCAAAAGTATGTGGCCCAGTTTGCGAAATCGGAGAACATCCGCTCAGTAGCGCCTAAGATTTCGCAATATGCGTACTGAATCGCTCTTTCGAATAAATGGTCTCCCATTCTAGGAGATTGTGTTTAAGCTGAGAAACAAAGGCACAAACGGAAGCGACATTCCAATCGTTCAATATACAGGGGTGGCCAAAAAAAAAGAGACACTTTGCCTATGGCGCACATCATCGAACTTTTTGTCGCACAGGGCGCCGATGTTAATGAAGTTTTATGGCGGAATATTCCTAAGATGTTCCCACGTAAGCAGAAGTAGGCCCTTTTTCACTGCCTCCACCGTCTTCAAAATATGACGTCATCTGTCGTCACCGTCGAGCTCAACGAGGCTTGCTGTAATCGCTCCGGCCTGAAGCTGCTACATGATTTCTTCAATTGATTAGATGGTGAATAACTTCTAGGAGACACTAGCTGTTACTGTGCAAGACCGCTTTTAACTCAGCGTTTCGGGGAGGTCGTAATGGTCTATGGTACCGCGTGTCCGACGACCTCTGTTGGAGCTCGTATCGCACACTTCTGGGAAAATCTTCTGATGTAGTCAGTGCAGAAGGCTGTCACGTGACATTTAGATAGATTAGAGTGTGCTCTTTAATACTAAGTTGGGTTCAGTCGATTTGATTCTAGCAAAGTGTGATTAATGCTGGCTGAACTTTGAAGTGAAGTGTCTCTTTTGGCCAC